GTTTTTAATAAAGTCTATTTTAACTTATTTAGTTTATTAAGTAATTAAAAACTATAATTAACTAGAGTAGAATTATAAATTATAAAAAACTTTTATTATTTATATAAAGAGTTTAGTTTAATAAAAGCCTTAGAAGACCTTTATTAAAGATATTATAGTAAAGTAGTAGTTTTCTTTTCTTTTTAATATAAATATTAAAATTTAAAAAGTATTTAATTAAAAAATAAAATAAATATATTTTAACTATTATATAAATAATATTAATAAATATACTCTTTATAATAAAAAATACTTTATATTATTTTATATAAAAGCTTTTTTAAGTAATAAAACGAATAAAGTATAATAATAATACTAAATTCTTTAATAATAGTAATAAACTTAGAATATTATTTAGTTTTTATTAAAACAAGATATAAATACTTAGTTAAGTACTATAATAAAAGTAATATAAAAAAGAAACTTATAAAAATAAAGTCTAAACTTTAAAAATAAAACTAATAAAAAAGTAATATTATAAATATAATAAAGTACTATAAATAAAAAGTAAAATAGGTTAATATAATAACTATAGAGTACTGATAAAGGTATAAAAATAAAAGAACTAATTATATAACTAGATTATTAAAGATTATAATAACCTAATACTAATCTAAGATTATTAGGATTATAAAGTAAGTTAAATAATCTAAATAATATAGTAGAGAATAGAATAAATATATAAAGTAAAGGAATTTTTAAAAATAGTTAGACTAGACCTTTACTAATTAATCTAAATAATAACTCTACTATTAGGAGATATCTCTTAATATAATTTATATTATAATAAGTATTTATTTATACTCTATATACTTAAACTAACTCTCTTTTTAAGAAATAGACTAACTATAGATTAGAATTCAACTACTATTATATTTAAGTAGGGCTATACTAAAAATTCGGAATACTTAGAGTCCTAATATTAATAATAATAACTATAAATAATACTTAGGCTTCTTTATTTATTTATTATATATAAACAGTTAGGACTTAGTAAAAAAAACAGTAGAGAAAGTTATACTATACTATACCTCTTTTAGTTACTACTAAGTCTTATAAAGAGGGGTACATCTATTAATAAGTTATACTAAGTTTATATAAATTTTAGTGAGTGTACTATACTAAATTAGTAGGATCGACAGTCTTAAAAGACACAGTCTCATATGAGACTTATTCTCGCAGTCTCATGATCCGGCCCTGAAACTTCCAAGACACGGCCCGGCTCGTAATTGCAACATATCTCTTCGTCTCTCCCTGCTTGGCCGCTAGGCAACGATGAAAACTCAGAAGTCAAAGCGCCACAGCCAAACATGCATTCGCAAGCATAAATGCATGTTTCCCTTTTCGCGCCACAACAAAGGCCGGGGTCTGGCAGAGTGCCACAGGACGGCACTGATTGCCGTCGTGCGCATCTCTGTCCACCCATTTATTCAGGGGTCAATTCGGCCGGATCATTGGAGGAATGGACTGCTCAAGAATGCAAGAAAGGGATAGCGGTCCAGCGGTTGATAAGAGACCAGGTGAGTCCCCAGAAGTTGCCGGTCTTGATGTAATAGACTCCTGATTCCTCTTCTTTACCACCACGCATTTTCTCGACGTTGACCGCCAAACATGCCTCACATCGCGGGCTTAAGCACTGCCTCTGAGTCTGAGGATTTCAAAAAGATCATTCTCTGCTTCGACGGCACTGGTAACACCTTCACTGGCTCTAATGCGGACACAAACGTTGTTAAGATCCTGCGCAAGCTAGATCGCAACCATCCCAATCAGCACCATTACTACCAGAGTAAGTATCTTCCACGTTGTTTGGCCTCTTGTCACTAATATTCCTTTAGCTGGCATTGGTACCTACGATATCAATGAGAAGTCTGTCAATAAGTCAGCAGTAGGAAAGATGTTCAGCTCCATTTCACAGACCATCGACCAGGGCTTCGGCACAACGTTCGACGCCCATGTTATGGCCGGCTATCGTTTTCTGATGCGGTACTACGAGCATGTAAGAGATGACCCCGCCTGATGCTATCTCCGTTACTAACACCCCGAAAGAACGCCAAGATCTACATCTTTGGATTCAGCCGTGGCGCCTTTACTGCCAAGTTCCTCGCACGCATGATCAACAAGGTCGGCCTACTCTGCAAGGGTAACGAGGAAATGGTCCCATTCACATTCCTTCTCTACCAGCGCTTCCTCGCAGGCGAGATCCAGGACCGCGTTAACGCTCAGAGTCAATGCGATGACAATCACGAAGATCCCCACGGCGAGCCAGCCGAGGCGGACCCTCTCTTGGCTGGCACAGCCAAGGTCCATAGAAGCCACGAAACCGAGGAGGCGCTCAATGAGATAACAGCCTTCAGGGAAACGTTCTGCCGCACAGAGACGAACGAGTGTGGTGAAGAGACCAACATCAAGATCTACTTCCTTGGTATCTGGGACTGCGTTAACTCTGTATCCGTCCTGGAGAGAAAGACGCCCGTGCCAGTCGCAGTCGGCGGAACAGCGCAATTCGTGCGCCACGCCGTCGCCGTCGACGAGCGTCGTGTCAAGTTCAAGCCCGCTCTCCTTGCCCAGGACATCCGCGACTCCAAGCACAAACACGACGACGAGGACATCCAAGAGGTCTGGTTCCCTGGCAACCACGGTGACGTCGGCGGCGGCTGGCCAGCGCTAGACAATAACCCTCTGGACCAGAACAATCTGGAGAAGATGACGCTCTGGCAGCTCGTCAAGAACTTCTGGACGTCGCGCAAGGCGCAGGGTGCCAGTGGCTCCCTTGACGACGACCGCCTGCAGATGAGCGATATCCCGCTGGCGTGGATGATTCACCAGGTTGAGCTTATAGGTGATAAGGACACCAGGGCAGCCGTCCACTGGGGCAGGAGCCTCGACAAGTTTAAGGCGTTGATGGACGACAGGGATAAGAGGAAGGAGGAGGCTGAGACGGGATTCATGCACGACTGTCTCGCTTTTGGCTACGGGACGGGCTTCATAAAAGTCTTGATGTGGAAGTTCATGGGTGAGTGCACACTCTCTGCTACGCTTCTTAGTGCTAACCTACATAGAATGGCTCCCCTTCATCACCCGCTGGGAGCTAGACGGCGTCGACCCGGATGACAAAGGGTGGAAGAATATGCGATTTCCGCTCAACAAGGCTGCTGCGCGCGACATCCCGCGCAAGGCTGTCCTCCACGCCTCGCTCATAGAGAGACTGAAGGACAAGACATATTTCCCGTCCAACAACCATGGGGGAAGTCTCCCACCCTGTCTGAAGACCAGAGCTGACTCGGGTGAGGGTAGAATTACTGCATTCACGCCCGAGGAGCAGCAGCCAGTAAAGGACGTGACCTCGACTTCCTCGACGAGGAAGCCGGAGACGAATATGGACGTTCTCAAGTCGAGGGAGAAGGATAAGCAGGATCACCAGACGTTTGTTATTACTCACATTCAGCAGTAGTCTAGGTTTAGGAAACGGAAGGGAGCGATCGGTTCAGGAAGGTAGAAGAATAGTCCTCAGTATGTCCATTAATCAAGTTAATTGCATTAGCGACAGTCAAAGATAGGGTTCCTTATGCCACTGCCGATCCCAGAAAGGCCTCGAAGCCAATTAGCGATGGATTTTATCACAGATCTGCCCCCGGCAGGGCCACACAAAGATAGATACATGTAGGTAATCAGGGATACCACAGGAAGTTCATTAGCGTTTAAATAACGTGACGTTAGGTGAGTCCGGCAATTCAGAATTTGTAACTCGCGCAGCTTTATAGCCAACGCTGCGATAGTAGACACGGATAAGTTGAATAACTATTGAGCCTATGCAAGCAGGCATTAGAAGGCGGCCTATAATTAGCTAGATTAGAATAGGCCCCACTTTAATAGGGGCTATAAGAAGCCTTAAGGGCTTCTAAAAGGCTAAGATAGAAAAGGACTAATTTATATAGATAATAATAAGAATAACTAAAATTAACTAATTTAATAATATTATCCTATTCTATTAATATAAACCTATTCTAATACTAATTAATAGTTATAATAACTATAGATAGTAAAGAAAAGAAAAAGTAGATTAATTATAATTCCTTCTATACTACCTAAAAGTAAGGAATTATTATTTACTATAGCCTTTAAAGATTCCTTACTTTATTATCCACTATAAGAAAATTCCTTTAAAGAATCTAAAAAAGTGCCTACTACTAAACTAATAGCCTATATTAAATTTAGTATCTTTCTAAAAAGAACTAACTAAAAAGGGCCTAATTCCTACTCTCTAAGTTCCTACTTTAATAAAAGGAACTTACTAAAATAAATAAGACCTTATTACTTTCTAAAAATTAGGATTAGAAGGATAAAATAGCTAAATTTATAAGAGGGTTCTTAGGAGAATCTTCTCCCTTTTATAATCCTTATTTAAATTAACTAAACTAGCTAGGATAAAATAAAGAAGCCCTTAATATACTAAAATAAATACTTATTAATTAAAGAATAGAGACCCTTTTAGTAATCTAACTACTCTTATTAGAATAGTTTACTATCTTAAAAGGGTCTATTATAACTTAATAACTATAGAGGTAACTATTAAAGATTAACCCTAAAATAAAGAATAAAAAAGAGCTTAATAATACTATAGTCTAAATACACTAGTATTTTAATAAACTAAAGAATAAAGATTTTATTCTAAAAGAGATCTTAGTAATATTCTAAGAATAATTTAAAAGATAGAATATTATAATATTTAAAAAACTTAATAATAGTATAAAAAGAGAATTCTAAAAGTTCTTTTAAATAAAAAGTATTTATATTAGTATTTAATTAGACTATAAGATCTAGAATAGTCTAGTTATACTATTAAAAGTAAAAAGTATACTAGAATAGCTACTAATAGATAAAGACTATAAAGCTTATACTATAAAAACAGAAGCTCTAGAAAATAAATAACTAATAACTTTAATACTAGTTAGAACTAGAGGTAATAGGTATTAAATCTAAATAGGCTACTATTAGGACCTATTAGAGAAAGAGGAGAATAATAATTATAATAAAAACTTAAGAAGATAGTTAATAAACTATATAAAGATATTAAGAACTATTCTTTAACTATAAGAATAAGGATTTATTATTAACTATAATATTAAGGTTAGAAAAGAAGAAAACTTTTCTATAGGTAGTAAGAATAGTTAATTTAAAACTAGAGGTATCCTTTAATAGTACTAAGGATAAGGATCTTTTACTATTAACTATAGTATTAGGGTTAAAAAAAAGAAAGATTTCTATATAGATAGTAGAAATAACTATTTTAAAGGTAGTTAAGGGTAGTCTAAATATTATAATAATAATCTAATAAATAAAAAGGAGATAATAAATAAAACCTTCTATTATTTAAAAATATTAAAGAAACCTCCTTAAGGATTCTATAGTATATAAGGAAGATAAGGGGTATAAAGTAAGTTTAACTTAAACTATATCCTAAGAGATAAATACTTAAATTATTAATTATAATATAAATAATATTTATTTAATAATTATAATTATAATAACTAAATATAACTATAGTTAAAGGTTAATATTCTCTATAAGATAGCTAACCTAAAAAAGAACTTCTAGGAAGTAGAGAAATTCTTAGGAAGTAATAAAAATGACTTCTTTAATATTAAATACTAGTTATTCCTTAATAAATATAAAAAGTTTAAAATCCCTAAAGAAGCCTTTAACTATATATTCTTTATAATATTATAAGACTAAGTATAAGGCTTCTATATTATAAACCTTACTAATAAAAGTATAATATTTAATAATTTTATAAATAGTATTAAAAGATATTTTAAACTAATTATTAAGATAAATAGATATTATTAAGAGTAATAGACTCTATTCCTTATAGAGATAATAAGAAAGAATAATAGTAAAAGTATAATATAGTGCCTAATAATTATAATAAATAGAATATAAAGCCTCTATTAAAGTGTATTCTTTAACTAGTAATATAGCTTCTAGGATCTTATATAGACACTATAAATAGTTATTTAAAGTATTCTTATATATACCTTAGTATTATTAAAACTAGTATTAAGCTTTAAGGAACTACTAGCTAATATTTAATAATCTATTATAGTGTATAAATAAGTTAATAAAATATTAAAAGAAGTCTTCTTTATTAATTATAAGTTTAAAAGAAGTAATAACTATAGTTAGAACTAATAACTCTAGTATAATTATTAACTATAGAAGAAGATAGATTTATAAAGTAAGACTAATAATAAGAAATAACTCTTAAAGAAGTACTTTATATATAAAAAAGAAGGTTATTAGTTAATAAACCACTCTTAGAAAGAATATAATAAAGCTAAAAGGAGTTAGTTTAGTAGAAACCACTTAAAGCTATTAAATACTAAAAGATATTAAATATTCTTAACTAAAGCTAAAGGTATTAATAAGGATAAGGAAATTAATAATCTATAAAAAGCTATAGATTAATTCTATTTACTTATAAGTAATTATAAAGAAGAAGAAGAATATAATAATAATAATAAGTATATTCTTATTTAAGAAGAATAATACTTATCTCTAACCTTCTTTATAATAAACTACTTTATAGTAGTAGAAAATAATCTAATACTTAAAAATATACTTACTAAACTAGTTAATAATACTATTTATTACTTTTATATAAAGGAAGACTTAGTAGAGTAAAGAGATTATAGTAATAACTAAGTCTTTATATCTAAAGAGAGATACCTATTAGGAGTATTTAAGGGTATTTTACTTAATACTAAAGTAGCTAACTACCTAAGTATAAGTATACTATAGGTATAGGTACTAATAAAGATAATACTAATAATCTAAATTAAACTAAATAATAGAATAATAAGGAAAATCTCTTTTAGAAGTATAAACTTAATTACACTCTTAAGTATTATAAAGTTATAAATAGCTATTAAGAACCTTAAGTTCTAAGTCCTTTTAATACTAACCCCCTTCTTAATATCCTTTAATAATATAGATTACTTAAGTGTCTACTTTAATAACTTAATAAATACCCTTCTTAAGGATAATATTATTATCCTAATAATATAATAATAAAGACACCCTTTTTAATTATTAAACCTAACTCTAATAGTAGTATTCTACTTAATAGAATAAGAACTAAAGTAGCTATATTAGAGATTTAACTATCTATTAGCTTATTAATTAAAAGAGGTATTAGAGTGTACTAGTAAAGACTTTTATAATAGAGTGTTAAAAAAGATAATAAAAATATATAGAAACTACTAAATAAACTAAAAAGTACTAAACTAATTCTACTTTATAATTAAGAATAATTATAAATTTAATTATAAGATTATTATAGATATATACTATATTAATAGTAAACCTATCCTTTATATTATAGACTTAGTAATAGTATTCTAAACTACTTAATTCCTCTAGAATTAAAAATAAAAAGTAAAAGACATTTAGAATATAATCCTAGAATACTAGATTAATATATATATTAGGCCTCCTAATTAGATTATATATAATACTAGAAAGAACTTTACTTTTATAGAATTTAAGTACTATATAAATAGTCTATATATTTAAGTTTAACTAGTCTTTATTAAAGTATATAATAGTATAAATAAAGTTAAAAGATACTATAGTATTCTTTAATATATATATAAAGTTATTAAAAAAGATATTAGAGATAGTATAAATAAACACTAGATCCTATAAATAGCTATTAAAGCTATTAATAATATAGTTAGACTTAATAGACTAGTATTAATACTATTAGTCTTTAGGATATACTTATAAATATCCTAATAGTTACTACCTTACTTAGATATTTATATATAAGATAAAGTAATCTAGAAGGTAATAGTAGAAGTCTAAATACTCTATTAAAAACACTAAATTAAAGAAGTATAAGCCTAATAGAATAGCCCTAATATAGGCCCTTTATACTAACTTCTATTTTAATTAGAAGTTATTATATAGTATAAAAAGAAAGGATAGTAAGGACTATTTAAATTAATAGGGATAAAAAGTAAGACCTATATTATTAAGGTACTATATAGACTAATAGAATTCTAATCTACTATAGTCTACCCCTTCTAGAGGGAGGAAGAAGGAGGTAAGTTTAGAACTATAGTTAAGGAGGGGACTAAGGACCTAGTGGATCTAGAGTCTATATATATAGGGGGGGTGTATACTCTTAAGCTAGAGCCTATATATATTTAGGCGCCTCCTTATATTAAGAAAGACTTAAGAGGTAGTAGTTAGGGGGATATATAGATCTTAGTAGAGCTAGAGCCTAACTATAATAACTAAACTAGACACTAAGTGACTCTTACTTACACTCTAGGCTAATAGGCTTAGCTCTACTTAATATCCTTAACTAAGGGTCCTTAGGAAGAAGGATTAATCTAACTATAAGGTCCTAAATCCACCTATATAAGACTTATAGAAGGGGGGCTAAAAGAAGAAAATAAGAAAAAAATAACTATAAAGAAGTCTAGAAGGTTAATAAAAGGAAAGTTAGCTAAAAGATATAGAGTATATCTAATAGAAGTAGAATTTATTGAATATAATAACCCTTTAAAAGAGAGAATTAAAAGTAAGATCTTCTAAATTAAAGTAAAGTATAAAGGAGATATAGAATATATAATAGTATACTTTTCTAAGAAAGAGAAAAATAACTATATAATAGTAATTAAATTAAAAAAGGAAGGAGTTATTAAAACTCCTAGTATACTATTTAAATAATCTAATAAAAAAGAGATTAAAAGGCTTATTATAGTAGATATATTTAAATTTATATAGTTTAATCTAAAGATCTATAAAAGTATAAGAATCTTTAAATTAAGATTTATTAATAAAATTAAAAGTAAAAGAACTAAGAAAGAATATAAAAAGTTAAGAATAATAATATATAGTTTTAATAACTAAAGAAAAGCTAGAATCCTAATAGCTTCTCTAATAATCTAAAGAGTAAACTAATAAATTATTATAGTAATTACTCTATTACTAATTAGTAAAAAAAGTAATAATTATAGTAAGATAGAAAGTAGAGAAAAAGAGATCTAGTTAAAAAATATAATATAAGTATATATATAAACTAAAACTATACTAAATTAAATAATTCTAGTAAGACTCTTAAAATAGCTAAAGTATAAATACTTAAAAGGGATAATTATAATAGTCCTTAAGCCTCTATATAGAATCCTAGAATCTAATAATTATTAGTATACTATATACTTAAAATACCTCCTTAAGTAACTTAGTATAACTAAATTAACTTTTAACCTATACCTCTTTATTATAAATATATTAGAATTTAGTATTATAGGGTTATAAATAAATAATATAATAGTCTTTAGTAATAAAGACTTTATTAAGAAGAAAGATAAGGAAATAAAGAAAGTAGGGATTATTATAAAACTATAAAATAATCTAATTATAAAAAGCCTATTATTCTTTAATAGCTACTACTTAGACTTAAATAGAGATAGTATAATTATTATAAACTAAAAAGAATAAAGAAAGAAGTTAATAATCCCTTTAAATAAAAAAGAATATAATTAATAGAGAGTAAGAGGAGTATATATTATTAGTATCTACTAACTAAAAGTAGTATTTAACCTATTAATTATAGTCTAATAATAATAGTTAAAAGAAGAAGACTTTAAGAAGTTAAGAATAAGAATCTAATAGTAAATAGAGAACTAAAAGAGAGGTATCTAAAGTATCTTAATTAATCTTTAAAAAGTAAAGATATTTATATTTATAAATAGATTATTTACTAATAATAAAGATTTAAGTTTTTAGTTAAGATTTATTATTATAATTAAGAATAAAAAAAGAATTAGTAATAAAGAATTTAACTTTAAAAGTAATATTATTACTTAGAGTTTAATAAAGTTAAAAAGAGTAATAAGATTAATACTAGTATTAGAATTATATAGTATAATTATAAGTATAAATATTAAATATATAATAAGTTTAACTATTAATATAATTATAAAAGAACTAAAGATTAAAAAGATTCTAATAGTAATCTATATAGACTTACTATTACTATATAAATGTCTTATTAAGCTTAGAATAATAAAAGAAAAATAACTAATAATTAATATTATAGCCCTCTACTAGTTATATAAAAGAAGAGAAATCTATAAAATATAATAGATTAATAATAATAATAACTTTACTAATATAATAATAAAAGTATTACTAAATTAAGTAATATAAAGCCTTATTAAATTAAATAAATTAAATATATATATAGAAGGCTAAGTGGAGAGATAGAGTAAGAGTAAAAACAAAGGGTACTAATTAGTTAGGGTAAGACTAGAATAGAAGAATAAGGCCCTAGTGTATTAATAATAAACTAGAACCCTTTTTTATTATATTTTTAAGTAAATTAGGCCTACTTATAAAGCTATAGAGAGAGAGAGTATAAGTATTAAGCCTATATAAGTAGGTATTAGAAGGCAGCCTATAATTAGCTAGATTAGAATAGGCCCTACTTTAATAAGGGCTATAAGAAGCCTTAAGGGCTTCTAAAAGACTAAGATAGAAGGGGACTAATTTATATAGATAATAGTAAGAATAACTAGAATTAATTAATTTAATAATATTATCCTATTCTATTAATATAAACCTATTCTAATAATAACTTAATCTTATACATGCCTAGAATACGTCGAAGGAGCCGTACCTTGTATTAGGGCCGGACGGATAATTGTAATGTAGTTTAATACACTACTATCCTAAGATCCGCGTATTAAATAGGCTATACACCTATACGTAGGGTTTATTATTCATTTAATAGTTGTATCTATGTGATTCTAAATACCTTCACCTATTCTAAATCGTGCCTACTATTATCACCATTACTAGATTCTCTTAGGGCAGTGATGAGGATATAAAGGACCACTGCTATTAAGTAAACTAGCTACGACTTGTCAACACAGTTGCCAGTAGATCCACTGAGGTACTGTGTGGCTCCGCAGCACTTGCAGGCTGACCAACTCTGCCCGCCGAGGCAAGCACAATAGTTATTCTGGGTGAGGTCGCACACCTGCCCAGTCCAGCGCTCATCTTCATTCTGTGCATAGAGGCAGACATCAATGTCGTCGCCATTGGGGGCGTCATAGCAATTGCCGTAGAAAGCTTTCTGGCCAGCGGCACAGCAGATAGTGGTGTTGGGGTTTCTCGCGTCAACGGTACACTGCGCTGCGCCGCCCGAGCACACGGTGCCATCCAAGCAAACGGACGAGCCCGGCCTGACGCAGTTCCCAAAGTCGACTGTGACCGGGCCCGCGATGTTGTTGTCCTGGGCCGAGACGAACAATGCCAGGTACTGGCCCGCCGGAAGGCTGTCGGGGAAAGGGACAAGTGCAGTCCCGGCACTGTCAGAAACATAGGTGGAGATGAGCGCCGGCAAAGTCGTGGCCTCTGGATTGACGGCGCTCCATACACCGATGTAGTTCTGAGGCGAAGGCGTAGTGCACGTGTAGTTGAAGGTAAGGGGCGGTGCGCCAGGGATATATCTAAGAGTCCCTGCCTGCTGTCTAGGCGCGAGCGTGTCAGCGGAGGGGTTCGGTGACGCCACGGCATACCCCAAAGCTGCTATAAAAAGTACGGTAGTAGCAAAGAGTGATCGCATTTTGGTTTAGAGTAGATGAGGCTTTTGTTGGAGGAAGAGAAAAGTAAAGTCGGCAATGGTCAAGGTTGTAGAACCTTGTCGTATTAAGGCTTTGGCCGTAGTGATATTGAGAGAGGAAGAGCGCCGCCGGAGTTGCTTTATATAGTTGGTTTGCGGTTAGAATCTTACTCCAACGCAAACGCTAGGCAAGAGACTGCGACACCCAGAACGTGGTTAAAAAGGCTTCCTCACTGGCTAGCTGACTACATCTATGCCAACTCTCGGCAGGCCGCTATGCGTAGATAACTTTAAAATAAGTTTAGAACATTTCCTGTCGGCAGTTAAGACTAAAGTAGAGTATCCAGCCCATAGCACCTGGACAGTATGTATTGATGAGCCGTGTGTCGAACGATGCAAGGTCAATGTTGCAACGCACCACCACCCAAAAGAGGCGCTGGAGACGTGGCACTTTCCATGCTGGAACTAGGTTTTATTGTGACCTTCGATTGGCGGAAAGATTAGTGTCAGTCGAATATTGAACACGCCAGGTGACATCAAGTAGTCGTCCGTGTTCACCGAGAGAGCTGAAGCTGCAAGTCTTGGATGGAATAATACGTATCAAGTCATTGAAAAGGATGTGTATAGTGTCTCTCATAAATCAGGACGGCAATTTTTAAAGAGTCACGGCAGTTGCGATAGTTTGACTAGAGTGTTGTCCTTTGCCACAGTACCGCCATGCGATGGGTAAATGTACTGGGCGGCAGATCGTTTCAAATGGAGATAGGCAAACTGGGCGAATACTTAGGTTACGGTCCATTTCCTTATAATTTTTACGAACTTATGATACAGCCCGAATACGGTAGACGGTAACAGTCCCATCTACAAACAAGCTCAAAGCATGTTCGAATATTGTATAGGTCAATCTCCATCTGTCTCCATCGGGCGTGGCCATTTGCCGAGCTTCCATAGCTCACTGCCTCAAGTCATGTCGCTTAGAGGTAGAATCATCAGGGAAATGCTGCCAACCAGATGGTGCGACGGAGAAACAATCCACACTCCGTTGCAAATCCTAAATGACACGGTCACGGATATTCTTCGTAGGCGAGCGCGGGCTCTCCGTGTCTCATGCGTTTGCCAACGAACACTGCTAGAGACAACATTATTAACATAATACGACGTGGGCTAGGCTCTCATCCGTCCGGTTGGCGTCCCGAGACCTTGCCCATATTTCACATTCATGTTTCAATTCGTTCATCAGAGTCATCTCGCGTGAGTCATGCTTCTCGGCAGTTCCTCACCCGTCGTCCAAAGATATGATGTATCGGTTTTATTTTGTGAGATACTAGCAATATCGTCTTGTCGATGGCGAGTAGAGCCCAGTGCAGGCTGACGGCATTTGCGCGCGTGCACCCGTGTCAGCTCGTTCGCTCCGTCACATGTCTCGGGTCTGATAGAGGGCGCTCCAGGACGAGTATGGGCGTGCAATGGTCCAGTTCAGCCGTTGTAGCAGCTGGCGCGACCGCAAAGCAATGTGGACGGCCACTACACATATATGGCCCTGCAAGCGAGGACTGCAGTCTGACGTGTACCCTAGGTATTATTCACAGCCATTGTCAGTGACATTGGGACCCTAGGTATTATTCACAGCCGTTGTTATTAAAATCAGGACCCTAAGAGTGTGATTCTGAGTTGTCTTGTGTCTTATTGCAGCCCACAGAAAAACCTTAGTGGGGCGCCTATAAGTATATATACTACTAAAATAGCTATAGAAGTACCTTTTTTAATAATAATATAATTTATATAAATTTTATAGTCTAAGGCTATAATTAGTAGGGATATATTACTATATTTAACTTAATTAAATATACGTTTTTAAGTATTTTAAAGGCTTCTAGAGACTATAGATTTATAGGCTTTAATATGAGATTCCTATAGTAGTAGTAGCTAGTTACTTTCTAACTTTAAAGATGTTATTTTAGAAGAGAGAGTTAATAGTTATTCTCTTTTATTAGTTAATAATTCTTTATAAAGTTTAAACTCTTTTACTTAGTCTTATTAGTTAGAAGAGTATATTAAAGCCTTTATATAGTATATTAATAGTATTATTATTAATAATAGATTTATTACTAAGTAGTACTATATTTATATACTAGTATTTAATTTAATTATTATTATATTCTAAACTATATATTCTAATATAAAATTTAATATATAGAAGTTTTAATAAAAATACTTATAATTATATAGTCTCTATAGAGTATATAAAAGTATTTTTATCTATAGTAGTATATTATATAGTAAAGAGATATTAAGAGTATTAGTAATAGAGGAGTATTAAAGTACTCTTTTAGGCCTTATACTAGTATATAGTAGGTCTCTAAAGCTATATAGTATTCTAGATCCTAATAGTCTTTAATAAATATAGTCTAACGCCTAGTCTACTAGAATAACTATAGTTAGTATTAATAATATAGTAGGATTATATATATTATATACTAATTTTAACTCTTTTATTATACTAGATAAAAGTAATAATATACTATTAGATAGACTTTTAAGTATAATACTAGTAAGATCTTTATTATATATACTACTAGTAAAGTATTAGAAGATATTAAAAAGTATACTAAAATTATAAGCTTTAATACTATTTAGTAAGGCTATTTATAAGTATATTAAATTAAGAGAAATAGTAATATAGAGTATAAAAGTTATAGTCTTTAAAGAGGTCTTTATTAATATATAAAAGAGAATTAAGTATATAATAATAGATACTAAATTAAACTTATTTTTAAATAATATAATTAATAATATTAATAAACTAGAGTAATATAAGACTAGTATAGTAGTCTAGAAGATACGATTTTTTTAGTAAGTTATTAATAGGAATTAAACTAAACTATAATATTTATTAAAACTAGAGGAATTAAAACTATAGGAATATATTTTCTACTTATATTATTTCTAAAGAGAATAGATTTATATTAATAATTAAAGCTTCTTTTATAGTACTATACTAGTAAAACTATAAAGTTATTACTACTTCTTACTCCTTTAATTACTTTACTTTTTATAAGAGTTTAAACTATAGTCTAACTAGATTAATAGTCTAGTAGCCTAAAGTATAGACTTAATAGAGAGGACTGCCTCTTATATAAAGTAGCTACTTTATTATAACCTCTCTATTTTTTCTCTCTATAAGAGATTTAATTTAACCTTATATTAATACCTACTTATAGAAACTATAAGGCTAGTCTTTAGTAATTAAATCTCTTCTTAATTATTTTTATCATAATAAAAATAATATAGTTTTCTTAGAATACTCTAATAGACTATATTAAACTAGTATTATTAAATTAAACTCTATTTAAATAAAATAATAAATTATAAATAGAAATATAGTTTTTTTAAAAGTAACTCCTACTAATTAGCCCTTAAGGCTAGAGTGAATATATATAACCACCCTTATAGATAACTATTAGTATTAAACTAATATTAACTTATATAGTTATTTAATAAAAACCCTTTTTATAAAGTAAAAAGTTTAATAAAAATATAAAAACCTTTATAGATTAAAAGTAAATAATAAAGTATAAACTAGAAATTAATAAAGCCTTTATTAATCTACTATAAGCTTAGTCTATATATATATAAGTAAGTTTTAATCTAATTATATAATAAAAGGTTATAGTCTACTTTAAAGTAGAAGACTATTAAAAGGAATTAAACTTTTATATATTCTTAAGTTATTTTAAAATAGTATTTAGTAACCTTTATTACTAAGAGTTAATAATAATATATTTTAGTTTAATAAAATAGTAAAAATAGTAGACTTTTTTTATTACTATATATACTTTAAATAAGAATTAATAATAGTAAGAAAACTAATATAAATAAAATTAAATTAAACTAAATAAGCTTTAGTTTATTCTTTTTAATACTATAAAGAGCTTAATTATTAGTAAATAGATTTTTAAATAGATTATAATAGAATAGTATAAAATATCTAAATAATCTCTATAGACTTAGAATCCTTTTAGATTAAAAAGAACTATTAATTATAAACTAATAAACTATTAACTTAGTATTAAGTTGTTACGAACAGACAAGAGTGACACAGGGCGGCCCGAGAAGGAGGCCAGGCGGGACGCCTGCAGGACGCCCGATCAGGATAGAAAGTCACGTGACCACGATAGGCTCACGGGCTCACCGTGAGCCAGTGAGCCAAGAAAGGATCACGACCTCAGCGTGAGCCAGTGATCCAGGTAGCACAGTAGAGGATAGGAAGGGTATATAGGGAAGGGGATTCCCAGTAGATAGCCAGACTAGATCTCTACTGATCAATCTAAGCAATAGTTCTACTATTGGGAGTAATCTCCTAAACGTGACTCAAGCTACGATACTGCTCATCTGCACCTGTGGTGCATTCAACCTGACTCACTTCCTAAGAAACAGATTTACTGTGGATTAGAGAAGAGCCACCGTTACATAAGTTAATATAAATAAAAATATAATAATAATAAGAATTAATATATTTTATACTTATTTAAAGGCTTTTATAAAAAGACTATAATACTAGTTAAGAGAGTAAGAAAAAGTACTCTAAGTATCTAAGTTAGTATTATACTTCTAAAGAGAATTAAAAGTCTATTTTTAATATAGTTAAAATAAATATTATATTATAAAATACTATTTATTTTTAATAAAATATATAAATATATAATAATCTTAAGTTATAATAATTACTAATTTAAATAGTAAGTTAAAAGTAGAAAATAATAATACTTAAAGAAGTAACTCTTTTTAGATAATATAATAATATTTATAATATAGAAGTTAAAAATTAAAAAGGGGGAAAAAAGCTAAGTATAGAAATAAATAGAAAAATATATAAATATAAAACTATTCTTAATACTAAGTAGTATTAATATATTTACCCTTTTAGATATATTAATTAATATTAATTATAAGTACTATAGAGTAATATAAAAAGGATTAGTAGACTTATTATAGTTATAATAGATTACTCTTTTTTTATTAAAATAGACTCACTTTATAGTAGAGAATATACTACTTTTTACTATAATAAAGGTAGTATAAAGATATATTAATATAGATAGTTAGTAGTTCTTTATACTACTCTATATTATTCTAGCCCTAAGTATTATTTATAGGTTATTAAATATTAAAAATCAGTGTAGTTTAGCTAGCCTAGGCATTATTCATAGCTATTATTATTAATATTAGGACCCTAGGCATTCTTAATTTTTAGTGTAGCCCCACCTAAGGTGGCCGAAGCTTTAATAGTAAGAATATATTAATAGATATAGACTATTAATTACTTAATTAGTTAAAGTAGAATAGGTTTAACAAGTAGGTTATATAATTAGTAACTACCTAGTAAAGAAGTTAAATAAAATATATCTATTAAATATATATTAATATAACTAAACTTATTTAGTATAATACACTAGACTATTTAGTTTTTATATATTTATAGTCTTATAATTATTTACTTTTATTATATAACTATACTAGTAATATCTATAATTATAAATAAGTATATTTACTATAATAATTAATATAAAGTAATACTTTATAGGGACTACTATACTATTATTCTACTTAAATAATTAATAGCTTAGTACTTATATAATATAAATAGTATTAAAGAATAAAATTTAAAAGAGATTATAGATTATATAATACTACTTAATATTTAATATTATTAATATTAAAAGTATATAATAATATCTAGATTATAGTTAACTATATACACTCTTATATATAAAGAAAGTGTTTAATTATACTAAATACTAATACTTAATAATTATATATAATATAATAATAAAGTATTAGTATATATTAGAGTATACTAATCTAAGTAAAAAATATACTTATATACTACTATAAAGCTAGTAATAGAATAAAAATATTAGCTACTAGATTATATAAACTAAAGGGAACTTAACTAACCTATTTTAACTAAGTAGAGATTAACTACCTAGTTTAATAAATACTATAATTAAAGAAATAATATTTAATTTAAATAAAAAAAGAGATAAAGGCTAGAGACTAGTAATAAATAGACTAGATTAATAAATAACTTTATATAAATAAAGAATATAAAATAAGTATACTATTTTAATAATAAAAACTTCTACTAAATATATAAAATAATTTATTCTATTTAATATACTAGTATATAGGGAATAAAGAGATAATTAAATAATAAAGTAGTAAAATAAGAGACTAAGGCTCTTAACTTACTATATAAGAGTTTAGATTATAAAGTAGATTATTATAATTAGTATATTAAGGCTATACTAAAGGAGGTATTATAGTATCTCTATAGGATAGAAGCTAATAAGCCTAATAGCTTACTATTTAGTTATAATAAAGGAGAATAATCTAAATAAAAGTATAAAGCTATTAGTTACTACTATCTTAGGTTCTACTAGTAAGTATACTAACTAGAGTAAGTATAGATTAAAGAGGAACTAAGTATTATGTTTATAAAGGAATAATAAGGCTATATTAGTAATATTATAAAGAAGATTAGAACTAAATTAGGTTATTTATTAAACTAAAAAAATAAAGAACTACTATTAATAGATAATAGTAGTTACTTAAATAAAGATAGTAATATTAGTATAAAGAATAAATATAATAGTTATATAGTAGTTAAAGTTTATATAAGTTTAAACTAAATAGTCTTTTATTTTATAGTAGTATCTATTAAGTATAAAGTTAGAGGTCTATAGTATAGTAATATACTATTTTATTTCTATACTATAGTTAGAGTCTATAGAGTGTCTAACTAAGGGTTATTAAAAAGTATAACTCTATATAGGAATATTAGCTACTCTATAGTAGCTAATTTAACTATTTTTTCTAGAGGACTACTAGTAAGGATAGTTACTTATACTAAATAAGGTGGATATTACTATTATAGAGGGTTTTTATAAGGAGTATATACACTAGATGTTATTAGTATATTTATAGTTATAAGCTAAATTATTAACTAGAGAGTATATAGTAAGGGATATAAGAATAAAATAAGTAGTATACTATTAGCTTACTAGAGTAAGGATAAGTTAATACTTTATTATAATAGTAATAAACTTATAATAAGTAAGTTCTAGTATATAGTATATAATATAATTATATAGACTAATATAATAGTTAACTAACTATTTTATAGGTAATAGGATAAGTTTAGTTAAAGTATTCTTATAAACTAGATTAAGGATTATATAGTAAGATAAAGCACTAAGTAGTTATTTATATATAATAACTATAACTAATAACTAGAGTCTAGGCCTAGAAAGGTACTATAGGCTATTAAGATGTCTCTCTTTAACCTAATAACTACTATATAGAACTATAATAATATCCATCTTTTGTCTTAAATTGGCTGCTACTGGCTTCTTCCGATGCCCTGACCACGTACGACATCGAGCGCAGCAAGGAAAAGAAAAAGCCAAGCGCAGAGCAGCGCCAGCTGCGCCCCGCGTGTTCTAAATAAACGTAGTTACCATATTATCTGAAGGATGAAACATCTCTCTCTTTTATTTACTTGCCGCTGCGCTTGCCCCCTCCTTTTTGTACCCCTCGCTTCGCTCGCGTGTGCTTGGTAGTCTCTCCGTCATTCTAAAAGTAATATTTCGTGTGGTACACAACTCAATGCAATGCAATGCACACTTCCGACCGTCTTCTGACTGAGGAGAAGTAGTGTGCTGCCAGCACCAATTTGTATGCTAGTAAAACCTCCAAATTTTCATTAATTGTAATTGATATACTAGCTATCCTTCATCGACTCCTTTTTCCGCTTTGGAGGCTCAGTTGCCGCCTCTCTCTCCTGTCCTAACAAATTCTGCACCTCTTCCAACTGTAATATCGACGATTTGCTTTTGTCGCTGCTCCTACCACTAGAAAGTACCCCCTTGCACCAACCTAACATTGCCAATGCCAAAGCCAGTGTTGCAAAGCCAACGTAGGTAATGACAGCTTGTTCGTCCGGCCAGGCAGTTTCTGGTCGGAACTTGGGTAGCGCTTCTTGCTTGTCAGTGGCAGGTTCGCTCGCAGCGGCTGGCCTGTTTTCCGCCTTTTGGCTCGTGCTCCCCGCGCCAAGGACGCCCTTTGCGTTGTTGGCGTACTCTTCCGGCACGACTGGCCAGACGTCCACGCCGTCCAAGATGGCCATCGCCATGCCGTTGGACAAGTGCGTCTCAAAGTGGCAGTGCAGAAGCCACGCGCCAGGATGCGTGACTTGGTATCGCAAAGCCACCCACATGGTCCCTGTAAACTCGTTGAGGAAGGTGTCCCGGTATGGCGGATTCTCTAGGTTGAACAGCTCCGGCTGCGCCTCGATCGCTTCGTTGACGGTTGAGTAATTGAACATGCCCATCCCAGAGCCGATGCGCCAGTACTTGTTGGCGTGCTTGTGTATGGCATGCGGGAACTCGACAGGCCAGAGCTTGCTGTGGCCTACCTGGAGGATAATGTCCTGCCACGTTCCGTTCTTGGTGCGAATCATTAGATCGTCGTCGTTGGCTTCCGCCGAGTCAAGATGCTCGAGAAGTGGCTTGTAGGCGGAGTGGTCCTCGGGATACTTCTTCTTTCCGCCGAGGGTAAACTCCCATGTCGAGTTTGCCTTGCCCAGCATCAGAATGTGGGTTTCGTCGCTGAGACGGGCTGGAGGAGTCGGTGGGAAGGGTGGCAGATCGTTCTTGTCCAAGAATGTAGGCTTTCCTATTGGCCAGGCGTTGTACCCAAACCAAGGTCGCGATATTGTCGTCACGCCGAAGCGATCAGGCTCGGCGAGGTCTGTCTCTCCGCCAGCGTAGCGAAGCGTAGCAAACTCTCCAATCATTTGCGAGTACCCGCCATCAATTACCCGAATCGCATAGTCCATTCTCCTCTGGTCAAGTCTGACCATGGCAGAATAGCGCTCGCCTGCCCAGAGAAGCATCGTCGTGGCCTTGCGCGGCTCTATGTAGTGCCCGTCGACCTCGTAGATCCACATCTCATGCTCGTCAATGCTCGGCTGTAGCGTCTTGAATGTCGACGCACCGATCCAGTTGATGCTTACCCAGCGCTGCTGATCCGCATCTACCTCGATGATTTCTTTCTGGCCAGTGGACGCCATGCACCCTTCCTGCATGCCATATGGAATGTGCGATGTATTACCTTCGGGGAGCCATGGCCCCTCTGTGCTCGGCACGAACGGGAAGCATCCCTTGTCGGAAATCGTGTCGTTGGGCCAGCTGCGTTGCATAAAGGGGATCTGCATGTCGGTGAACCACTGCTGGCCTGGGCAGTACAGGTTGCCCTTGCCGTTGATCAGCACTGAGTCAACGCAGAAGATTTGGAGCTTGCTCTTGGCGGTTGCCTCCAGGACTTGCGAAGAGTTGAAGTTGGACCAATCGGAGACAAGCATGACCTTTGGGTGGTGTGCCGCACGCTCCATCGCGCGAATGTCCTCGGGGTCCTTGCTAATCAGGTGAAAGGGATTTGCGGTGCCCTTCTTGCGACGAACCAGCAGAGGCCCATACAAGCCGTCGAGTAATGTGGCTCTCGAGTGCGAGTGATACCAGTGCTGCCCAGGCGGATACGCCTTGAAGCGGTAGATGTAGGTCTCGCCAGGTTCGATGGGAGTCTGCGACAGTCCGGGAACGCCGTCCGACCACGGCGACTCTCGCTGGTCTATGCCGTGCCAGTGGACGGTTGTGTTCTCGCGCATCTCATTCTTGACGGTAATCTCGACATCGTCTCCTTCATCAAACGCGAGCAGTGGCGACGGGAACTGGCCGTTGGTCAGGATCATGTCGCGACCCTGGCCGTTGGGCGAGCCATTTTCCCATGTGAATGTGAGACTCTTCTGGATGAGTGCCGCACTGGTCGAGTTTGCGAACAAGGGAATGATAGACAGAAGCGCGCCGAGTAGGAGGCGGATTGGGCGTGACTGCACCATGGCGATTGTGCAGTGATTCAATCTGCGATGGACGCGAAGCAGGCATGAAGCAGGGGGAATGACAGGATGGAATACAGAACTTGATAGCTCAAGTGCCCCAGCTCAAGTGCCATGACAGGCTTCATGCCGAAGGCTGGGCATGATGCTGACCGGAAGGCTGATGCCGGTGGTGGATTCGGGTGCGCCACTAATTGGGTGATTCCCGAGCCTCGTCCACCCACTCCGGTCAGTCGGTGTCCGATCTCAGCCTTTCGGAGTCCAGCGGCAGGATGAAACCGCGCCAGTGCCGGAAGCCCCAAGAGACGACAGCCTCTCACTAAGGCTGGAAGTGTTGACTAGTGTCTCACTGGTACCCGTCGACGTTGTAACGGGAGATGGCTGTAACCACCAGGTATCGGCTGCTGCACACTGCTATTACTTGTCTTTGGGGATGCAAGCAGACATAGTTAAGGGTTTGATGCCCTGCACATAGTATATCTGTAGAGCTAGAACAAATTGAACAAAATAAAAATTAAAAACATCGTCGACTCCCATCACTTGAAGGCATCATGACCACCACCAAGCTAAAAGACTACGCTGATAAGATCCAGAAAGCTGCCAAGGCTCTGGACACTTTCCAGCACGCAAACGGCGACGCCAGCGATGGGCACGTTCTGCCAGTCAACGACCCTCACGCTGTTATCGAGGCCCGCGAGGCACTGATTGATGCCGCCACTAGGCTGTTACAAGATGTCTCTGAGCCTACACAATTCCTTCCCAACTTGGCCGTCCAGGTACGTACGATTCAAGGATAAAGGCTTCTCTCTATGAACGTACACCCCTAACATAAGAATGGGTAGGGGCAACAAATCTCTGGTCTCCGATGGCTCTGCCGTTTCAACGTCATCTCGCTCGTCCCGCTGGACGGCTCCATCTCTTACGCCGACCTCGCCGCGGCGGCCAAGGTCCCATTGAAGCAGCTAAAGAGCATCGTGCGCATGCTCATGTGCGCCAACTTCTTCGCCGAGACGGCCTCTCAAAACGTGCAGCACACCAGGCTCTCTGCGCAGTTTGCTCGCAGCGAGCCCCTGCAGACCTGGGCTACCTTCCTGGCCGAGGACTCCATCATCATGGGCCTCAAGATGTACGAGGCGACATCCAAATGGGGCGCGACGACCTCCAAGACGGAGACGAGCTTCAACCTGGCCCTCGGCACGGACAAGTCATTCTTCGAGTGGCTCAGCACCACGCCCGAGGCCACGAAAAAGTTTAGCGGCTACATGAAGGCCGTCACGGCCACGTACGGCACATCTCTGGAGCATCTTGTCGACGGCTACGACTGGGCGTCGCGTCTCCGAGACGGAGCTACTGTTGTCGACGTCGGGGGCTCGTTGGGCCATGCGAGCATTGCGCTTGCCCGCAAGCACAAGGGCATCAAGTTCATCGTGCAAGACCTCACTCGCGTCATTCAAAACGTCGATGCGACGTCTATCGACGAAGATGCTGGCGTCCGCGAGAGAATCACCTTTGCAGAGCACGATTTTTTCCAGCCCCAGCCCGTCAAGGACGCAGACGTGTACCTTCTCCGCCAGATCCTTCACGACTGGCCCGACGCGGACGCCACCAAGATCCTCCAGAATATCACTGCTGCGATGCGGCCCGACGCGCGCATCATGATTATGGACTCGGCGCTGCCGTTCCCGGGCACCATTGGCCGCGTGCATGAGGCGCAGCTAAGGGTTAGGGACATGACGATGATGCAGGCGTTTAATGCGTCGGAGAGGGAGCTAGAGGACTGGAAGAGATTGCTGAAGGATGCGGATGAACGGCTGGAGCTGGAGAGCGTGGAGATTCCTACGGGGAGCCACTTGGCTATCTTGGTGGCTCGCCTCAAGTAGACTCTGGTTCAGCCAGGCAAAGGGTAGCACCGCATGTCTCGTTCAGCTTGGCGTGGGGGAGCGGGCACTGCTGCGGTGCAGGTTCAGGTCGTAATATATTGCATTGCAGTCTATTGCAGCTCAGCTGGTAGTGAGTTAGGCATTGTGCAGTAACAAAGGTGGATAGCATGTGATGTCGCGTCATGCAAGTCTTCTTTTAGCGTGGCAAAGGCAACCCGCTATGTCGCGATCATCTCAGATCTCCCCCAACGCTGCAGATGGCTCATACATAGGTATGTACGCTCTCGCAATACCAAGGGTAGGTGGCGCTGCGCTTGGCTTTTTGTTTCCTCGCTTCGCTCGCGCACATGGTCTCAAAGCAGCTGATATGTATATACTCTGCTATTGAGCATGTTGCGATGGCTGCACCTGCTTCTAACAATTTCTGCCATTAACTCCTCTTCAGACGATCCTCAACACGACCAGATAATTTAGTACTGCTAAGATTGTTTATCCTTTGTGTTGCAATGGATGTGGGTACCTGCTTCCAGCACTCTGCCTTGTATTTTTAAAGGTAGAAGATCTGCCAGGCTGCTGACTCTGATGCTGATCTATTTTCGTCGCCACGGCATAGTAATTTAATTGGTCAATTGGGATTGGGGCGACTGAAATCAGCGCGTTGACCCCGCCTTGAAGCGTTGCTGTGAGCGTATTCTCCTAGCCAGCTTAGTTACCCTCATGACCTTTGTCAAGGCTGTGCGCCTATCAGTGAGGACTGCGACACGGATGTCGGCGTGTCGCAGCAAGTTATCTTACTGCCACCCACTGTATGCATTCCGCCTTATTGTTGGTGCCCTCGAACGGTTTATACCCCCCCGCTGTTCTTCAAGCCTCTCTATTGGCTTCGGCTCCTGAAGGAACTAGGGACGGCCCGCTCACCGGGGTCGCAACTGGGTGCAGCTTTTGATGAGATTGAGGGCGAACCTCCTCCAGCTGTAGGTGCTTCAGCTGCTGGAGAAACATGCAGTTAAATACACCAAAGCCTTCTCTACAATATGAATAATGGCAAACTGTACTACGGTGTATATTGATAGCAATCTTGCGACAAGGAATGCGGCAAGTGTGCTGATCTGGCTACCTCTCTGGTGGAAACGGCGGGCCTGTTGAAGAGCGGCGGGCTGTTCGTCCCCCACAAGCCATTGTCTCTGCGATCCACCCATCATCGCCAAGAGAGACAGGCCGACCGAGATGCCGCGCCGTACTCGTCGCAGTAGTCCATACATAAGGTACATGGCTTGTTGGTGAAAAGCCTCTCCACTCGGCACAATCTTGCCCGTGGCGCATTATGGGTAGATTTACCGACCCAGTGTGTAGTGGAGAGCAACTGCGCAGAGGTTGCCTTTGAAACCAAGAAACAAGTTGCAGCAGCCCAACATGGCCCCAGACAAGGATGAGCAACTGGCGGGGATACGGGGGTCTACTTAGAAGTACAACAGCCACTGTGCCGGTTACCTGACTAAAAGGCCTCGTGCTAGAGAGGGCCGCGCCTAGGTTCGCGGGGCCCATGACTTTAGACCTCGCGGGAACCCCGCGAACCTAGGCGCTGCCTACTGGAGAGGGGTTGGTGCACCCAAGTATTGACCGACCTCCCTATCTCATCATCGGCAGCTGCTTTGATGACAAGTATGCGGATGTACGGTACGCCCTTGAGTGCCCGTGCCGCATCTTTTGGCCCAAGACAGAGCCTTATTGTGTGGCTGACATGCGTCCCGTTCCGTTTGCATCTGCATGCGAGCCGAAAGCACACATCACCGTAATAATGCAGGAGGGATGTGTCCCAGTAACCAGCGTAATCCGCCGTGCGACAGAGACCAGATATACCTCTCCTTGCCCGTGCCGTTGCGCTCGACGCTTGCGCGAATTGACAATTCTCCTATTACATCCATACACATACATACTCTACCATGTCAGACTTGGTGGCCAAGCTCAAAGCTTCGTGTGACCGATGTGCGGCGGACAAGGTCAAGTGCGGGAAACAGCATCCCTCGTGTGCAAGATGCATACAAACAAACCGAGAGTGCGTCTACAGCGTGTCACAACGAGCGGGAAAACCATCACAGGCTAAGCTGGCGGTCCGACGAGAGCTCGCTGCCTGCGCCGGCGTGCCACTGATCAGCGCCGACGCGTCAACAAGGCAAGGGAGCGCTGCTGGTTCGCCGAGCGCAATGCAGGTCGCCGTCAATACCGAACTATCGAATGCTACGTCGGACTTTTGGCAGTGCAGGGACCTGATGCTACCGAGCCTACCATGGCAGGAGGAGCTTGGAGTATCAGGCAACTTGGGAGCCGCCCATCATTCGCCAGCAGCGTATTATGACCCGTGTGCCGCATTGACGGGAGCCTCACTCGGCACTACATTATCGGGAACCACACAGTTCAGCCTTGCCACATCACAACAAGCAATTACCCTTTCGGAAACATTAATGGACGCGGCTTGTGGCGAATTTTCCATGTCTGCGCCAATGTCGCCGAAATCATCTGGTCGCTCGTCGGCGACATTGGACGCTGCCCTGGGGCCGCCTTGCTGCGAACCGACTGAGGTTGCGAAGCAGCTGTGCGACATTGTTGAGCTTGGGCAGGCCAATGCCATGACACTGGACACGTTGCTACACGAAATCGTCACGCTCTCGCAGAAGGTTAGCAGCCATTTGCGGTGCTCGTGTGCGCGGGACAGTACTGTTCTCATGATGCTGGCGGCCAGCGAGTGCGAGATTCTCGACCTCTACCAGGCGATAGCAGACGTCAAGCCCTGCTATCCTTTATCCAGCGGGCGGGCCATCCGGCAGCTAAGTCTTCGTCACAGCGAGCTCTCGCTGGGCAGTTTTAAGCTCGACGAGAAGATGTCGTCTGCAGTGCGGGACCAATTGGTCCTGAGCCAGCTTCACGACATGATAGGGAAGTGGGAACAGTACGTTGACCCTTTGTCATATGATAGGAAGAAGGCAACTGGAGAGGTGAAACTGTCGGTTGTGATTACAAACTTGGTACTCTCGCGGCTGAACTCGACGGTGGATGAGATTGAGTCTCGGCGGAGGGGGTCGTCACGGGGGAGCTAGAGCTAGATTTATAGAAGTAGATAGAACTAATCGAATGAACGCTAGAATGTCAGTCCGTCTTCACGACCAGATTTTCGTTTACTCCTAGTCATGTTGGGCATCCCAAGGAGGAATGTCTTGGAAGCATGTCAGCGATTTGTCACAGCCACGCCAAGGAGAGGAAGAAAAGGGCCGAGCGCAGCGGTTCGAGGCATCTCAGCGATTGGTCGCCGTCTACAATAAACATAAACTGCGCTCGGAATGCAATTAAACCCGTAACATTGAATAATCGATACGAAACCTGTACTGTGTGTCTGGATGGCCTCGGATTACGGGATACCTGACCTAGGCTCCCTGCGTTTGTCATGTGTGCGTGGTAACAGGCCGACTTGGCCTCCTCTCCCCACTGCATCTTTTCTATGGAAGACTTTCGGCATAATCTGAATTACCTAAGAGAGAGCGTGAGAAGCCCCTCGAGAGTGTAAAGGCACTCTCAACGCTGAAACCCTTGTCGGGCGAGGTTGAAAGTAGTTGTCCGCTTGCTTCTGGAGATGTCTCAGTCATTGGAGATTGGTAGAAACGTAGTCGTATGAACTAGTCGATAAGCAAGTCCGCATCCAGGGCTGATGTCATTTGCCAGCTGATGAGGATTCAAAGCCACCGGGAATCCGGCACCGGAGAGGGCTCTGTCGTGCTAGATACGTCGGGATCCGAAGCACAGCAACCAAAGCTCAGTCATCGGGGTCCGAAATACATGCAAGCCACTCAGTGCTATCACCGTGCAGACGATAGTGGAAGCAAGTCTTACCCACGTGGGAATCACGCGGATTTAGAACCCTGGTGCGGAGTGGTCATTTCAAAATAATGCTATCGGATAAGTATACCTGGTTAGCAACAAGTGATACTAAGTCTGAACGCGCTTAACCGCCGAATCACCATCCACGCTTCCAAATGCGTCTTCCAAGAATTTTTCTTGCATAAACTACCTTTTGCATTTTTTATTTTGCTTCCCTTTCGTAGCGTACAACTCATTTAAAGCCCTCACGGCTATTCAGCACTGCCAACATGAGCAACAGCGCTTATCGTGTCTATCTCTTTGGAGATCAGACCTACGATTTCGACTATTCGTTTCGGCAACTGCTTTCCTACGATAATACTTTACTAAACGGCTTTTTTAACAAGGCTTTTGCTGCGATTCGGGCTGAGTTGAAACAACTTCATGCTTCGGCCAAGGATTCGACGCCAAAATTTTCGAACTTTTCAGACCTCTTGGCTCAGAAACGAGATGGTTGTCTGAGTCCGGCACTAGAGCAATCTCTGTGTGCTGTTCATGGCTTGGCGCATTTCATATGGTAAATCTCTCTTCAGCCTGTGTCCCAATTATTTGATTACTGACCATGATTAGGCGTCACTCAGATGGACAGATTCCATACCCGACGGCACAAAACAGCCACATCCTTGGCCTTTGCACCGGTGCACTGGCTGCTGCTGCCGTCAGTGCATCATCTGACCTGTTTAATCTGGTTCCTCATGCTGTCGATGCAGTGATCGCAGCCTTGCATTGTGGACTCGCTGCGTCACGCATTGGCAGGTCCCTCTCTGGCGACTACGAGTATACAGAGTCTACTTGGTCCTTGCTTCTGTCAGGGGCCAGCCCAGTAAACGTCCAAGACCTGATAGACAAGTTTAACGGCACTCTTCCTCCGGCTCTGCGCGTCCATGTCAGCGCTCAAATCCACGATGCGGTAACTGTCAGTGGTCCTCCGCGATCATTGTCCCAGCTACGCTCGACTGACAAGTTCCGAACCCTGGTGCGAGTCGCCCTTCCCATTAGGGCGCCCTACCACGCGGCTCATCTCTTTGGCGAGGAGCATGTGCAGGAGATTCTGCAACACATTTCCAGGACCGCGTCACTTCGTTTGGGCTACCAGCCGATTCCGGTTGTCTCTTGCGGTAGTGGCCAATCGGACTGGTCAACCACGTTGTCAGCAAAGTTGGAGACTGCTGTTCGAGACGTCTTGATTAACCCCATTGTGCTAAACAAAGCGATTACCCGATTGGCGGAATCTATCCAATTCACCGCGCCTTCTCAGGTCAGCATCATCCCGATTGGCACTTCGATCGGGGAATCCGTTCATGGGTACCTTACGGAGGCTGAAACTGGTGCAACCGTCGTTTTGGACATTGCCGCAGCACTAACTCCCTCGCCGAGCTCTCCACTACTTCGAGGGCCAATGGGCCGTTCAAAAATTGCCGTCGTTGGCATGTCTGGACGCTTTCCAGGTGCTTCCAACGTCGAAGGACTTTGGGATGTCCTCATGAACAAAATGGACATGTGTCGGGAAGTTCCTGGCATGCGATGGAATGTCGAAACCCACGTTGACCTAAAAGGCAAGGAGAAGAACAAGAGCAAGGTTCGGTATGGATGCTGGATCGACAACCCCGACCTCTTTGACGCGCGGTTCTTTTCCATTTCGCCTCGTGAGGCTCCACAGGTTGATCCAGCTCAACGCATTGCGCTCCTAACAGCCTACGAGGCCCTTGAAAGCGCTGGTATTGTGCCTGGGCGGACGCCCTCAACACGGGAAGATCGCGTCGGTGTCTTCTTTGGCGTCACAAGTAATGATTGGTGCGAAGCAAACAGCAACCAAAACATTGACACGTACTTTATTCCTGGGGCCAATCGAGCCTTTGTTCCGGGTAGGATCAACTACTGCTTCAAATTCTCTGGGCCAAGCTATGCTGTCGATACGGCCTGCAGCTCCAGCCTCTCAGCAATTCATATCGCTTTCAACTCTTTGCTCCAGGGTGATATCGACATGGCAATTGCGGGAGGGACAAATGTACTCACAAACCCTGACATGACCTGCGGCCTGGATCGTGGCCACTTCCTCTCGAGCACGGGCAATTGCAAGACATTCGACGCGTCCGCAGATGGCTACTGTCGTGGAGAAGGCGTGGCGACTGTGATTCTGAAGCGGCTCGAAGATGCTATCGCCGATCATGATCCTATTATGGGCATCATTTCCGGTGCATACACCAATCACTCCGCCGAGGCCGAATCGATTACCCGCCCGCACGTCGGTGCCCAGCGCGATATCCTCAACAGGGTCCTCAGCGACTCTGGAACAGACCCTTACGACGTCGGCTACGTTGAGATGCATGGTACCGGTACCCAAGCCGGTGACCTGCGCGAGATGCAATCGGTCTGCAGCGTCTTTGCGCCCAACGACCGTCGTCATCGCCGTGCCGCAAACCAGCCATTGCACTTGGGAGCCCTAAAATCTAACATCGGCCATGGTGAATCTGTTTCCGGAGTCAGTGCTCTCATAAAAGTTCTTCTCATGATGAAGAAAAGTACGATTCCGCCACACTGTGGGATAAAAACGCAGATTAATCCGGGATTCCCGAAAGATCTAAGAGAAAGGAACGTCTTTATTGACCTTGAGGCTGCCAGTTGGGAAAGGTCGGGCGGCATGCCTCGCAAAGCGATTATCAACAATTTTTCCGCCGCTGGCGGCAATTCGACAATCCTCGTGGAGGACGCACCAGATCTGCCGACGATTGACAGCGGCGAAGCGGCCATGTCGCGGCCGACATTCCCAGTCGCGGTGACAGCTAGATCAGCAAGATCCCTGACGGCGAATTTAAAAGCAATTATACAGTACACTCAGTCTCGCCAGCCGGATCTAGCGCAGTTGTCCTACACCACGACCGCCCGGCGCATGCATCATGCCCACAGAATTTTGGTCGTCGGCAGCAGCCTCAAAGAGGTTCAGAACAAGCTCAATGACGCCTTGTCGCAGGAAACAGGAATAATGAAAGCGTTGGAGCCAAAGAAATTGCTGTTCACCTTTACCGGCCAAGGATCTCAGTATGCTGGCATGGGGAAAAGGCTGTACGATGAATTGTCAGTCTTTCGTCACCAGCTTCAGCACTTGGACCGTCTTGTCCGGATTCAAGGCTTCCCTTCCATTATTAGTCTCTTTATCGCCGAAACTAGTACTTGCCTCAGCGATTTCCCGCCCGTCGTGGTGCAGCTGGCCAATACATGCATGCAGATTGGTCTCGCCCGTATGTGGATATCCTGGGGCATGAAACCGACTTCAGTGGTTGGCCACTCCTTAGGGGAATACGCTGCTCTCAACATCGCCGGGGTGCTGAGTGACGCAGACACAATCTACCTCGTAGGTAGACGGGCTCAGTATTTGCAAGATTTATGCGACAGCGGGTCGCACGCCATGCTCGCAGTCATTGCCTCGGAAAGCGAGATTGAAGCTACTCTGCAAATGCCCTTTGAAGTATCTTGCATCAACGGACCAAAAGAAACCGTCATCGCCGGTACAGTCGCGCAAGTCACGAGGATGCGACAGATTCTCCTCGACAAGGGTATTCGAAGCACGCTTCTCAACACGCCATTCGCCTTTCACACATCGCAGATTGACCCAATCCGAGCCCAATTAGTTGCAGACGCACACCGCGTCACGTTCAACATCCCCAAAATCCCTGTCCTCTCTTCGCTCTTGGGGACAGTCGTTGAAAGCGACGGGGTCTTCAACGCCGAGTACATCGGCCGTCAGGCGCGGGAGACGGTGCAGGTGATGCAGGCCCTACACGCAGGTACCGATGCCGGCATCATCGACGACAAGACGTATGGGATCGAGTTTGGACCACACCCTGTGGTTGCGGGCATGGTCAAGTCCACACTCGGGCCTGCGGTCAAGGTGCTTCCGACGCTGCGACGAAACGCGGATGCTTTCGAGGTCATGACGGAGACGCTGTCTGCGTTTTACAATTCAGGCGCTCATATCAACTGGAACGAGTACTTTTGTGACATTCCATATGCGCAGTCTGTTATTCCCTTGCCGGCTTATAACTGGGACTTGCAATCGTACTGGATAGAGTACAAAAATGATTTCTGCCTGTACAAAGGCGATCTACAGCCACCAGCAGCTCAAAAGGCCCCAGCAGAAGAGCCAGTAGAAGTCACACCTTCCAAGGTAATGATCATGGGTGATGTT